CTGGGAGCTTCCTTGTAGGTAACTAACTGCTTTTCTCTTGTTTCTTTTAAGATTCTCTCTTTGTCTTTAACCTCTGACATTTTAATTAGGATGTGTTTTGGTGTGGGCCTCTTGGGGTTCATCTTGTTTGGGACACTCTGTGCTTCCTGGAGTTGTATGTCTATTTCCTTCACCAGCTTAGGGAAGTTTTCCATTATTTCTTTAACTAGGTTTTCAATTTCTTTATCTCTCTCCCCTCCTTCTGGTATCCCTATGATGTGAATGTTGGTGCACTTGATGTTGTCCCAGAAGCCCCTTAAACTATCCTCATTTTTTTTGGATTCTTCATTCTCGTTCCTGTTCTGATTGGATCTTTTCTGCTACCTTATCTTCCACGTTGCTGATTTGATCCTCTGTTTCACGTAATCTACTATTGATTTCCTCTAATGTATTCTTCATTTCAGTTACTGTATTTTTTAATTTCTAAGTGGTTCTTTTTTATGTTTTCCATCTCTTTTGTTAAAGTTCTTACTGAGTTCATCTACTCTTCCCCTATGTCCATTGAGCATCCTCATATCCAGTTTTTTGAACTCTGCATCTGGTAGATTGCTTGTCTCCATTTTGTTTAGTTCTCTTTCTGGAGCTTTGTGCTATTCTTTCATTTTGGACATGTTTCTTTGTCTCCCCATTGTGGCTGCCTCCCTGTGTTTCTTAGTAGAGAGGCCGTATGTAGTAGGTGTGCTGTGGGGCCCAGTAGCACAGCCTTCTCTCGTCACTTGAGCCAGGTGCTTCAGGTATGTGCATTGTATGGGTTGTGTGTGCCCTTTTGTTGTAGTTGGGCCTTGGTTGCTGTTTGATCATCAGTGGGAGGGATTGACCCTTGGGCTGATTGGTTGTGAGGATTGGCCATGACTATCCTGGAGGAGCTGTTGTTCAGGGGCTGATTCTACAGAGAAGGATTCATTTTAGTGAGGTTCTGGTGCCTTCCGAGTTTGCCCTTTGGGTGTGTTGTCCACAGATATAGCCCCAATCTGAAGCGACCCACTGTGTATGTGGGTGCTGGGGCCTCCTGGGAGGGCCCTGCTGCAGACAAGATCAGCCGCAGCCTGTGTCCTTCCAGGGGCCACCCGACATGAGCCACCAAACAATCCACAGATGGCTGCCACCTGCTTTGGGCTTAGAGGTGTGTAGAAAGGCCAGGCCACAAACCAAGACCAGCTGCCACTATTGCTGTGCTTAGGGCTGCTTGGCAAGAGGTACAGGACATGGCGAGGTCAGATGCTGCTTGTTTGGGTTTTGTGAACCTTGAGAGATTTTAGGAAAGTTCACAGCATGAGCCAAGACCCACTTTTTGTATGGAAAAGCCACTGGAAGCGGCATGGATGGGCCTGCAAGTTGGGAGGGGCGGGGTCTCAGGAACTCACCTGAGCGGGGCAGCGGGGCAGCCAGTGTAAGCTACTTTGATGGAGACTCTGATATGGTGGCTGCCCGCCTCTGCAGGCTAGAAGGTGAGTGGGTGCAACAAAAGAACAATGGCTTCTGTCAACGCCTTTGAGAGAAAGCTGCCAATCCAGCCCTCTCCCTGAAGCCAGATGATTCAGTTCCTCCCCATGTGTCTCTGGCACTTTTTGAGCTGCTGCCTCAGCTCCAGAGCTCAGAGTCAGTACGTCAGCAAGTAAGTCTGGGTGCTGGCCCTTTAAGAGGAATATCTGTGACTTCTCCAGCCCTCCATCTCACTCACCCAGAATCTCCGCTGGTTTTCACAGGCATAGGTGTGAGGACTTCTCTTCCTATTACTGGAGCCCTGGGCTGAGGAGCCTTGTGTAAGGCAGGGACCCCTCGCTCCTCCAGGTGGACCTCTGCAGCTGAGATATCCCTCTGGATTCTC